TGTCAGTGCCATAAAGGAAAATGAAAAGCAGAGGAATAGTTCCAGATTATGGGAGACAAAAGAGGGGTGATATCTAAATGCAATGCTTGATCCTGGATTGGATTCTGGATTACTGAAAGAAGTTTCTAGAAAGGACAATATTGGGACAGTTGGCAAAATTTGAATATACATTATAAGTTAGATGATAGTATTGTAGCAATGTTAACTTTCCTGAATTTGATCACATCACTGTGGTTGTGTATAAGACTTTCCTTGTTCTCGGGATACGTGATGTAGTATTTGGGGCTGAGGTGTTGTGATCTCTGTAATTTACTCTCAAATGGTTCAGGAAGAACTAGACTAAGAAATAATGAAGATGGGTGACTATACTTAGCAATACTGTGTTGTTACTTGAAAATTGCTAAGTGAGTAGATTTTAAAAGTTTTCACACAAAAAACATAACTATGTGAAGTGACAGACGTATTAACGAACTTTATTGTAATTCCCAAATATTTATGTTTCTCAAATCATCACGTTGTACACCTTAAACTTCTACAGTCAATTACACCTCAAGCTGGAAAATAAACAAATAAGTAAATAAATGCCCTCAAATATTGAGGATCTTATGCAATATAGAAATATAGAGAAAGAGATAAAGCAAATGTGGCAAAATGTTAACACTAAATAACGTGTGTGACGTGTGTGAGAAAGTTTATCATAATCCTCTCACAATTTCTGTATCCTTGAACTTTTTTTCCAAAATAAAAAGTTTAATTAAAGGAGAAGAGACGGACCTGTGCAGGTGGTTGATCTAAGAGCCACTAAGATATCACCAGAGTGCTAAAAATCGTAGCAGAGAGGTAACTTGAAAAAAATGTATTATTAAAACTTCTCTTTGGAGAATGCTGATGCGGCTGGAAAAAAAGGCTGGGACTTCGGTGGAGAGATGAGGTTCCCAAGGGCAACCTGCAGGGCCCACAGATGGTCACGGTCAGGGTGTGGCCTCTTCGGGAAGGTCCTCCTCTGCTCTTCCCCTGTGAACTTCTGCATCTCTCTTCTAAATAAAAACTAAACACATATTTTCTAAATGTTGAAAGGAGAACCAAATGATTAGCCTTTCTTTTTAATCTGGTGTTACCAGCTGTACAACCTTGAACAGGTCATTTCATTCATTAGGCAGACATTTATTTGGTACCTACTCTGTGCCAGGCACTGTTTCAGATTCCGGTGACAGCACGGGCCCTCCCAGAGGGAATAGTCTAGTGATATGTGGCAGACACTGGGGGTTGCCAACCCCACTGGTAATCCTCGTCTTCCTTGCTAATAAAAACTCCAATTTTGGAGGCGCCTGGGTGGCTCAGCTGGTGAAGTGTCTGCCTTCGGCTCAGGTCATGATCCCAGGGTCCTGGGATCAGGCTCCCTGCTCAGCCAGAAGCCTGCTTCTCCCTCTGCCTGTCACTCCCCCGCTTGTGCTCTCTTTCTCTCTGACAAATAAATAAGTAAATCTTTAAAAAACTAAATAAACAAGTTCATTGAGGTCTTGAAATTCACCCATTTTAAAACCTTTTTATTTTGTGATCATTGTAGATTTAAATGCAGTTGTAAGAAGTAACAGAAACGCTGCATACTCTTCACCCAGTCTTCCCCAATGTAACATAGCACAAGAGCAAGGTCAGGATGTAGACACTGATACAATCCTTTGACCTCATTCAGATTTCCACTCCTTTGCCAGGTGTGTGTGTGTGTGTGTAATTCTATGTGATTTTATCGCTCATGTGACCATGGCCACAGTGAAGATACAAACCATTTCCAAGGATCCCTCTTGTTGCCCTTTTATAATCAGACCCACTTTCCTTCTAGGTTGCACTCTGTCATCCCTGAGCCCCTGGCCAACCACTAATCTGTTCTCCATTTCTATAATTTCCACATTTTCAAGAATGTTATGCTAATAGAACCGTGCTGTATAGAAACTTTTCGGATTTTTTTAGGCTTTAGGCTTTAGGCTTTTTTTCATTCAAACTCGTTCCCTAGAGGTCCACCAGGTTGTTGTATCATTATTTCCTTCCTTTTTATTGCTGAGTAGTACTCCAATGTACTACAATTTGCTTAACCATATGCTTGTACCACCATTTGCCGCTTAACCAACAGCCACCCAAGAGCCTAAACTTGTTTGTTTGTTTGTTTGTTTTTAAAGGCAATAATGAGTCCAGCCATAGGACACACGGTGATTGATCTTAGTGCTTCTCATTGGAATGAAGACATTCAGAAAATGGGAGGGTGTTTTTGGTTGTTACCATGGAGGGGGAGCACTTTTGGCAGTTAACGAATGTTAGGCTGCCTGAACTCCACAAGACACAGCTGCACAAGAAAGAATCAGACAACCGCCCCCACCGAACATGCTGCCAAATGTCTCGGTGGGCAACACACCCACACAAACAGGAAAACAATAACAACAGATTTGTTTACAATTATCTGAGCCTAAAACTTAACGCCATTTACAAATGAAAGTAATTTGGTTATGGTTTTAATGTACACTGAATTTTCCAGGTATGCAAATGTTGTGTATAAAGAGGAGAGGTTGTAATTTACTTTGTTTGGCACTTTGCCAAGAATTGTTCACTGTTTCAGAAAATCGACAGTGACAATGCTTCCAATATTTGAGTCATCGATATATATTTTTATTAGTCTCCACCCACAGCACATATATCATATTATGTATGTGCATTTATCATTTATGCCCTCATGATATATATTTATGCACAATATATTTAGTCCTTATTTTGAAATGTCAAATGCAAATAGAAAATGTTTAATATTATATTCTGTAAAACCATTATAAGTAGATGCAAGCATCTGATGACATCATTATGTCATGTAGTCATGACATGCCTGCATCCTATATATTGTAATAATGTTTTCTAATAAGTTCCTTCCCTTTTATTTTTCCTTTATATTACAGTTAGGGCATCATGCAGTTTATTCTATTGTTTTGTGTAAGTCATATTACCTGTGAATTTCATGCCAGGATAGCAAAGGAGACATTACAAAATCATATGCCTTGAAAGGGAGTGTTGGGTTTGATGGGGTGGAGAAGAACTCATCTAATTTCTGGTCAAAGAGAGGTCTGCAGAGGATCTTCAGGAAGATATGTTCTTTGGTAAAAAGAGAGAGATGCTCTGGGGTGCCTGGCTGGCTCAGTCAGGAGAGCACGTGACTCTTCATCTTGAGGTTGTGAGTTCAAGCCCCATGCTGGGGGTGGGGACATTAAAAAATAGTAATAAAAAGAGATGACCTGCACCAGTTCCCGTTCTGCTTTGGGAAGTTGGAGGACATCATGTTTCTGTATGATGTGGTCATCTTATAACCATGAGGTGATGGGGTCTCTGATGATGTGACTGATTTGCTGCAGCGGCCCGGGAACAGTCTACTGTGGATTTTGCCATGGGAGATAATTACAGGTCTGTATTGTTTAAGCCACTGTCCGTTGGGTATTCTTGCATGCAGCTAAAAGCACCTAACTGGAATGTGGGGAATATCGTAAATCAGCAATTACAATCAAGTGTAATAAAGTGCATTATCTACAATATAGGATAGGGAAGCATTTCTTTTTTTTAAGATTTTATTTATTTGAGAGAGAGCATGAGAAGGGTAGGAGACAGAGAGAGAAGCTGGGGACTTTGTGGGACTCAATCCCAGGATCCTGGGATCATGACCTGAGCAGAAGGTCAGATGCTTAAGCGACTGAGCCACCCAGGCGCCCTGAGAGGGAAGCATTTCATCGGGTTCCCAAACCAGACTCAGGGTTGGGGAAGGTCAGCAAATATTTCCTGTAGGACATAATATCTGGACTAAGGACTGAGGACGAGTAGGGTTTAGCCAGAAAGGGCATGACGTTATCACAGTGAGAGAGGTGATTCTGCCTAAAGAGGTTCCCTGGAAAAGGGGAGGAACCGTAGGTGTGAGATACCAGTCCATGAAGGACTAAGTTGAACCTGTGGGCTTGTTCATCCATTTGAACCGAGTTCAAGTCCTGAGTGAGTCACTTGGTGGCTGTGTACCTCTGGGTAAGTTCCTGAACTGAGTTTGTTCATCATCGTGAAGATGATTACAATAGGACTCACGTCCTGGGTTCTTTCTGAGAAGACTGTCGTTCAGACAGGGAGGGTTCAAATCTAGAGCGGGGTGGGAACCGGCGGTACGGCTAGAGAGGTGAATAAAGGGGAAACAGATTGGGGTTTGCACAGACAGGTCTTGGGTCAAGGATCCAAGGTACAGGAGTCAAGGACGATGTGCGGGTTCCTGGCTTGGACAGCCGCCGAGGCACGCACGATGACAGGACTCGTGGGTCTGGTGGGGAGATGCTGAGTCTGGGGTGTCTGTCCTAAAGGACACACGTATCCGGGCTCGGGAGCTGTAGCCCGGGAAGAAGCAGCTAACCCCGAACGAGGCCGGAGGACCAGGTGCGACGGGCCGGGGCTCGGGGAGCAGGGGCGCAGGGCACAGCCCTGGGGTCTACGGACACCCCGACGCCAAGCGGCAGGTACAGCCTGAGCAGCCTTCGGGACAGGCAGGAAAGGACCAGGCCAACAGTCAGGTCGCGGAAGCTGATGGGAGGGGAAGGCCTGAGAACCCGGCTCGGCCCGCGCAGCCACGCGTCCCGGACCCGAGGCGGCTCGGCGCTGGGGTACCCGCGGGGGCCGGGGGCTGAGGCGCAGCGACGCGGGGAACCCTCACTCCGCGGCTGGCCGAGCCGAGCGTCCGAGGGAGGCCGGCGCGGGGTCCACCGGGACTCGTCCCCGCAGCCAGCGCCGGGCGCCCTCAAGGACCGCCTCCCGGGAGCCCCGCCGCGCGTCTTTCTTTGTTTCCACGTCCGAAGATCTCGCGACAGTCGGGCGGCAAATCTCGCGAGCGCAGGCCGGTCTGGCGCTGCGGCTCTCGCGGTGTTTGCGCGAGACTGCCCCTAGCCTGCTCCCCCGCCGCCCGCCTGCCTTCCTGCCCTCTCCCCGCCCGGCCTCCCCCGCCTTCCCCCGCGGGCCCCCTCCGCGCAGGGATACTATGGTCTCCGGCGATGGACGCCCCAGGTGCAGGTCAGTGCCCGCCCCGCGCCGCGCCGCTC